CATTCCATAGTGGTCCTCACCGACCAACCCTTGAAGAAGGTCATGCAGCAACCAGAACTTTCCGGCAGACTTATGCAGTGGTCAGTGAAACTCAGCCAGTTTGACATCTCTTACCGGCCTCGAACAGCAATTAAGGGACAGGCTATCGCCGACTTCATCTTGGAATTCACTAATCCTACCCCAACCACTGCCTCTCCACCCCTGTCAGCTCCCATCGAGCCAGAAGACCCTCACTCTTGGACTCTCAACGTCGACGGATCATCTCGCAGGCAAGGTAGTGGGGCTGGCCTCATTCTCACCAGCCCTGAGGGTGGTTATTTCAAATGTGCGCTCCGCTTCTTGTTTGAGGCCAGTAACAATGAGGCCGAATATGAGGCACTGATAGCGGGCCTTTGCCTAGCCAAGGACATTGGTGTCAGCCACATCCGAGTGCTCAGCGACTCTCAGCTCATCGTCGGACAGATCACGGGCGAATTCGACGCCAAGGAGGGCACAATGTAGACTTACAGGGATCTTGCACTTCCCCTTGTTCGCCTCTTCAATACCTTCTACATCAAGCACATTCCTCGGGCGGAGAACTCTAAGGCAGATGAGATGGCCCAGTTGGCTTCCGCAGACCAGTCCGCCCTCAGCGGTGGTGTCCGCCTCGAATACCTATCCCACCCCGCCATTTCTCCCGACTAGCATGAAGTACAATTCCTCCAAAATGAGCCCATCCCTTGGGCGTCGGACATCTTTCGATTTCTGACAGCGGGGGAACTTCTAGATGACCACCAGCAAGCCGCCAAAGTCAGGGCACGATCGTCCAATTACATCCTTGTCGACGGCATCTTGTACAAACGTGGTTTCTCACGTCCCTATCTGCGGTGCCTCAATCCGACTCAAGCAACTTATGTGATGCAAGAAATTCATGAGGGGATCTGCGGCAATCACTCGAGTAGCAAGTCCCTGGCCCACAAGATACTCCGTACTGGCTATTTCTGGCCCACTCTTAATCATGATGCGACCGATTTCGTGCTCAAATGTGATAAGTGTCAACATTTTGCCAACATCCCCCATGCACCCCCAACAGAGTTGATCACACTTTGCAGCCCTTATCCGTTCGCCAAATGGGGGATCGACTTGGTCGGTCCACTCCCTATTGGCCGAGGCCAGTCCAAGTTCGCGATCGTCACCATTGATTACTTCACCAAGTGGGTAGAGGCAGAACCCCTTGCCGCCATCACCGAGCGGAACACAACCAAGTTCATCTGGCAGTCGATCATTTGCAGGTTTGGCATTCCTCAGGCCATCATCTCCGACAACGATAAACAATTTAACAACGCCAAGTACAGGAAGTTCTGTGCCGACCTCCAGATTCAACCTTGTTTCTCATCCCCTGGCCATCCCCAGGCCAATGGCCAGGTTGAGGTCACCAACCGCTCTCTCCTGAAGATCATCAAAACTAAGCTAGAAGCTGCTAAGGGACTTTGGGCTGAGGAGCTACCGAATGTACTCTGGGCTTATCGAACTACAGCTCGGACTCCCACTGGGGAAGCCCCTTTCCACTTAACATACGGCGCTGAGGCGGTTATCCCAGTAGAAGTCGGTTTGCCTACTCCCAGGGTTTCACATCCGGATCCAGCACTAACCGAAGGACTCCGTTGGGCTGACCTCGACCTAATTGAAGAACTCAGAGAGACCACCACTGTCCGACTGGCCTCATACCAATAGAAAATGAGAACACACTACAACCGCAAGGTCCGACCGAGGGAGTTCACTGTAGGGGATCTTGTCTTGAGAAAAGCAACTCTTCCTACCAAAAATCCGACTGAGGGTAAATTGGCAGCCAAGTGGGAGGGACCTTACATTGTGAAAGCCCGACCCCGACCAGGCACTTACCGACTTCAGGACATGGAAGGTCGAGACCTCCCCCACCCATGGAACGTCGAACACCTTAAACGTTACTTTCAATAAGCTCCTATTTTTGTATTGCTCAGTTATTGTATTTTTTTTTCGGGAAATTCACACATTCTTGATATTCCCCCATGCAATGTAACTTCTTGATTATATATCTCAGTTATCTATATGTTGTCTCAGTAACATTCTTATTTGCAGCATTAAAAGCCTCAGCCATACTAAGCACTAAAAGCCTCAGCAAGACTGAGCACTAAAAGCCTCAGCCAGACAGAGCACTTAAAAGCCTCTGCCAAACTGAGCACTAAAAGCCTCAGCCAGACTGAGTACTAAAAGCCTCTGCCAGACAGAGCACTTAAAGCCTCAGCCAGACTGAGCACTTAAAGCCTCATCCAGACTGAGCATGAGCCGCCTCGGGCAGTCCAACCGTTAACACCCTCTGCCGGACCGAACGCTAAAAGCTCCATCCAGACTGAGCGTGAAGCACTCCTCCAGACCTAACATGTAGGGCTCGGTCAAAACCACCCATGCAAAACTTCATACTTGTGGAATTAACTAACACACTTAGTCACAATTCCAGGTCCAAGTCTTCACACCACTCTTTGCTTAGTCAAATTCCAAAGAAGTTCTTATCATTTTATTACATTTAACTTTCTCAGGCCTATCATTTTATTACATTTTAAATTTCACCCTGCATTGTGGAGTTCTTAAATTTCACTATCATTTTATTACATTTAACTTTCTCAAGCCTATCATTTTATTACATTTTAAATCTCACTCTGCATTGTGGAATTCTTAACTTCACTCTGTATTGAGTCCTTATTACAAGCTTCAGTTTCACTCTTATTAACAAAGAGTTCTACACACACTTCGCCTACGCCTCATTCATCTCATATCCACAAGCAGAAACAATCAAATGACAAATGACAAGCACAACTGAAATTTTATTCATTAGCAATTCATGTACAAAAAGTTCATTACAGCAATTCAAAAAAAAAAAAAACTCTTTCTCCTTTTTCTCCTTCCTCTTCAGTTACTCCTCCTCGCTGGAGAGGAGGTCTTCTTCTTCAATGCCCTCATCCAGGGGGGTTTGGGCCACATCGTCTTCGCCAATCGTTACGCTACTAAGGCCTAAGTCTGGGAACAGCTCTTCAGCTCTACGTTTGAACATCTTTCAGCCACTGTCCCAGTAGTCAGCCATTTCGTGCTTATAAAAGTCTGACTGCTGGAAGCTCTCAATAACTTCTGCGTCAGTTCTGCGTCCAGCAGTCGTCCTCGATGGGCCCGCCCCTCCAGATTCCTGCCCAGCCAGGCTACTCGCGACCGCGGCATCAACCGCCACCTGAAATTTGGCAAACCCTTTGAATTGCTCCACTGTTGCGACGCACAGATCGAGATAAGCCGCCCTTTGAGAGACTGCCTTTACCCTCTCTTCGCCCAGCTCTTTCTGCAGGGCCGCCCTTTCTGACGCCGCCTTCGCTTTCTCCACCTCCAATTCCTCCTTCAAGCTCTCCTTCTCCGCCGTCGCCTGCACTCTCTCTGCTTCTAACTCCCTCTGAAGCCTCCCTTTCTCCTCCACCGCCTTGGCGCGCTCTCCCTCCAGTTCCCTCTGGAGATCGCCAACTTTGCCATCAGTCTCATCTTTTTGCCTCACCAGCTCTTCATTACTACTTATAGCCTCTTCATGTCGCTCGACGGCGCAGGCTCTTTGGGCCTCGTCCAACTTCTTCTGCTCGCCAGCAAGTTGGAACTCGAGCGACACAACCTGGCAGCATGTGTCCTCCAGCTCCGCCTTAACCGCTGGCAGCTCGGTGTGGGCACTCGCCCAACTTGCACTCTTCTTCTTTAACTTTGCCAGCTGAGCCTTGGCCTCATCTGCCTTGAGTTTGGCAGCCCCCGCCTTCCTCAGCAGGGCCTCTGCTAAGGTGGTTACCTCCATTTGAGCGGAGTATAACCCCCTTAGCAGTTCAGCGTCGTTAAATCTGGAGGCTAAGCGCAGGGCTGCCTCTTCTACAATCCCTACAAGACGGTCTGCCCCTGCCCTGGCTGGGCCTTCTTCTCCCTCCAGCCGCCCCACCACCGCACGAGCATGGTAGATCGCCGTGGTCGCACTGATTCCTCTTTCTTGAGGTGCAAGCCCCCCTGGGGCTGTTCCTCCCTCCTTGGCCCAGGGCCAGCAGCCTCGTCCTCCACTTGCCTTTCAGGGGCGGCCTTTGCAACCCCGGCAGCGATCGTCGCCACCACTGGCACCACCTTCATGCCCTCTGAGGCAACATCCACCACTTCTGGGCCACCCACCTTTCCTGGGGCCCCCTCAACTTCTCCCTCTTCAGCCCCCCCCGGCCGCACTGGTTTCCTTCACACTCGTCTCCCTCCTCCTCTTCTGGGCAAGCACTTCCTCACTCCAACTCACTCTCTTCTTCTTCTTCCCCACGCCCAACACCTCCATCTCCTTCAAGGACCTCTCCTTCAAAGGGTCTGTTGGGCCGCGGCACAAAATTGCCCAAGTTTTTCTCTCCCAAGGGTTTGGGGCGAGGTTGAATCCTCTCCCTCGCAACCGGTTTTGGTGGTCGGCCGGCCCGGGACTCTTTGAATTGTTGGGCTTTAGCAAGAATGGCCTGATCCTCTGCCTCCTCAGCCCTTCTCCTCGCCTCCAACTCTGCTCGGTCGAGGTCCCCACTACTTGGCTTTGGCCCCAACCCCGCCTCAAACAATGTCGATGGCTGAACAAGCTCGTTCTATTTGGCCTTTTCTCTCTCCCTCCACTCCTTCACCCTCTTCACCCTCCCCTCCGCAGCTGCCCCCAGTTTCAGCTCCACAGACCTGATGGGTACTTTCCAAATGGTGCGCGCTCCAAGCCCCCCATTGGCAGACACGTAGAACCATCGCGGTCGCCATCCCTTGATCGACGACGGAAGACCCGCCACCAACCCCTTCCCCACTGCTGCCTGCAAAGTGACCCACGTCTCTTGCTGCCCCGAAGCCTTTTAACACGCAAAGAATTCATCTACTGTCATGGCCTCCCCTCAATTTGCCTTCGGCCATGCACTTGCACAGGCCAGCAGGATCTTCCGTGCGTTGGGCATTAGTTGCCCCGGTGCTACCTCCAGACGGTTAAGCACATCCACCACCACTTGCGGTAGTGGCAACCTCAGTCCACCCTTCAGAGCTTCCTCATAAAGGGAAAACTCTCCTGGCCTGGCGTCAGATGGCCTTTCCGTTGATGTCGGCAGCAATAACTCCACTTCCCTAGGGATCTGGTATTTTTCACGGATAGCCTCCAACTCCGCCTCAGTAATCGTGGATTTGTCAGCCTTCGTGTGCCAATGATCTGGTTCCGTCTGGCTGATTGGCTTTGGAGCTGCTATCATGGTGGAACCGTGGGATCGTACCACCGACTCCCCCACCCTCTCTGTCCTATACTGCGCCGCTAGCTCCACAACATCATCATCTCCAAGCGGGTCCACCCTGACAATCGCATTGGCCCTCCAACTCGGCCAACACCGCGGTCGGCCCTCCTCATGGTCAACCCTCCCACTCGGCCAACACCGTGGTCAGCCCTCCTCGTGGTCGGCCCTCCAACTCGGCCAACACCGCGGTCGGCCCTCCTCATGGTCAACCCTCCCACTCGGCCAACACCGTGGTCAGCCCTCCTCGTGGTCGGCCCTCCAACTCGGCCAACACCGCGGTCGGCCCTCCTCATGGTCAACCCTCCCACTCGGCCAACACCGTGGTCAGCCCTCCTCGTGGTCGGCCCTCCAACTCGGCCAACACCGCGGTCGGCCCTCCTCATGGTCAACCCTCCCACTCGGCCAACACCGTGGTCAGCCCTCCTCGTGGTCGGCCCTCCAACTCGGCCAACACCGCGGTCGGCCCTCCTCATGGTCAACCCTCCCACTCGGCCAACACCGTGGTCAGCCCTCCTCGTGGTCGGCCCTCCAACTCGGCCAACACCGCGGTCGGCCCTCCTCGTGGTCAGCCCTCCCGCTCGGCCAAACGCCGCGGTCGGCCCTCCTCGTGATCAGCCCTTCCGCTCGGCCAAATGTCGCGGTCGGCCCTCCCAGTCGGCCAACACCGCGGTCGACTCTCCTCATGGTCAGCCCTCCCGCTCGGCTAAACGCCGCGGTCGCCCCTCCTCGTGGTCAACCCTCCCACTCGGCCAACACCGCGATCGGCCCTCCCTGCTCGGCCAAACGCCGTGGTCAGCCCTCCTCGCGGTCGACCCTCCTTGTGGTCGGCCCTCCCGCTCGGCCAACCACTGCGGTCGGCCCCCCCTCGATCACCCCTTCCGGTCGACCTCCATCCTGCCAATCCCTAACACACTCATCTATGTCACTAATATTCCCTTCGTTGGACTGAAGCTGCACTCCGGAATGGGGGACTACTGACATGTATAAACCCATAAAGGTCATGAATCACCTATGGCCCATCACTTGAAGCCCAATGCATAACCCAGGTAACGAGGTCCAGGACAGCTGGAGTCCAACATGGCATAAAGAGCCAATGACATTCAGACACACGGCAAGAGAAGGACGAACCACATCAGCAGACAAAGATCTGCAAAGTTATTACCACTGCACATCACCATTAATGCATCCCATCACAGCATTTATTACGACAACACCTCTCCGCCGGAACAGGACCCCCTTACCCTGAGCAAGGTAAGCTAGAGCATAGGCTTTCGACAATGAAAGCAGGTCGGAAGGGACAGCGAAATGATTGCCAAAGGATATAAGCGAACATTGTAGACAAGAAAAAGGTTAAGCTTTCTATCTCTAATCTTCTCCCATATACTCTACTTCTCTTCCTAACTTGATCGTGGGAGCGTTCATTGGGGGACTACCCCGTTTCCCGTTGAACTTGTTTGCAGGGTATCCGGTGGGCTCGATCATTTGGGCTTGGGCTTGAGGAGCTTAGACCAGTTCGCTCCATTCACCGGGGATAAAATGTATCAACAAGACTCATCCTGAATCTATCTAATTTTGATGATTTGATAGGTTGATTTCTGAATTAAGCATGAAAAAAAAATTTAAGTGTTGCCTTTTGTATTTTTTTCTTTTCAAAAATAAATATATTGAAATTATGTGAATATAATTATTCAACCAGTTTAATGTTTCTATGATTAATCAAACCATAGAAACCTAGAAGACTAATGGGCAGATCATCAACGTAGGGTTGTAGTGGGTCCATGGCTCGATACTAGGAGAAACTTCTTCTTCGACATTCATGTCAGCACAAGAAAGTTGATCTCCAGTGAAAATGATAAGAATGATCCAGACTGTCACTTAGGGGTGACCCCACTACCCCCTATTAGGCTTCGGCGCAGGTTGGTTGTGGTCACGGAACCTCCAATCCGTCGTCCGTCTGTCAGATTGGCGGATTGAAAAAAATTAATCTGCATCCGTCCATCAATCCGACTGATGTGGATTGAGCGGATTGGCGGTTTGGCGGATGGATGCGAATCAATTTGGCGGTTTAAAATTTTATAAATTTTCAACATAATTCAACTTGTACACTTCCTCAAAAAAAAACAAAAAAAAAGTATTACAGTCAATGACTTAAAAAAATATTACAATCACTGCATGCCTCATCCAAAGCAAGAAATTTTGAAACTTTAGAATATCACAATCACTGCATGCCTCATCCATATACTACAATCACAGCATGCCTCATCCACATAAAGTATCACAATCTATGGTTCTTAAAATATAAAAGCAATTCAAACCACCAAAACCATGAACAGAGCAGTAGTAGATATTGTACGTCTCTATATTGTTACATCTATATTTGTTTTTGAAAACAAAAACCAACTAGCATATATCATATTTTCTATTTATTATTTTTAGAGATAGATTTAAAAACCAAAAAATATAGATAAAATAATACGTTTATTTTTTTTTCAATTCAAAAAATATATTCGAGTTGAAAACTTTTTTTCAACAAAATATTTAAAACTCTTTTTTAATTGAAAACATAAACAGAATATTTAAATAAACTGAAAACACAAAGTCTTATAAATTACTAGGGGTGCTTGCGTTTTGGCAGTTTGGTTGAGGCCAAAGGAATCTCAAATCCGCCATCCGTCCGCTAGATTGGCAGATTGGAGAAAATCAATCCGCAACCGTCCGCTCATCATCATGCATCCGTCCAAAATACGGCGGTTCAGTTCGGTTAGGTTTGGTCGGTTTTGGCGGATCGGTATATCTGCTGCTCACCCCTACACGGCGGGTCTAACTCCAGATTCATCTCGATAATTTAAATTGTTCAATGTATAAAACTTGTCAAGTATATTATTTCTACAAAAAAATCACATTAATCGGATATCAATAACCACTTGATCAGTTTGCATTTGTGTTTGCAATTATTTTAAAAATCATAATTGTCGTTGAAACAAATGCAATCTGCGATTAATGAAATTGATGAATGGTTCTGTGTGCTTCCAAACAATTTCATTAATTATGTCCTTATTTCCACGAAAAAGTCACCAAGCAATTTCATTAATCTGCGATTTGTTTGGTTGTATGTTTTGAAAATAGTTTTATAGTTTTGTAATTGGAGTTTTATAGTTTGGGATGATTTGTAGATTTTTTTTATTTTTATTTTTATTTTTTTTGTAATTGAATAGATGAGTCTGAGAGAAATAGTGATTGAATGATGTGTAGTTAACAAATGCAATTTGCGATTCACTTTTTTATGAAAATAAGGATATGATTAATGAAATTGTTTGATGAGAAAAATAAATTATTGTTTTGATGAAGTTTGTTTTCTAATTTATCCCCCTAATACTAGATCACTACCAGACCACCTCAAACGCTTGAAAATTTGCCAGAACAATGGTTGAAAATGTCGCCGGAGGTGGCGACTAGTGGTGGTGGTGGTGATATGGACAGATGGACAGATTACATGGACAGATAAGTGACATATGGATAAAATGTGGAGTTTTTGTCACCGGCATGGTATATACACATTGTACTTATATCTTTGTTAAATCTCATATATTATGTTAGATTGTTTCTACTGGGCTTTGGCTCACCCTACTTTGGGAAACCATTTTCAGGTACCAGTGACATGCCTCCTCCAATGACGTAGCTTTGGAGGACCTTGGAGCCGAAGGCTCCTTTTATGTTATTTTGTATTTAATGTTCGTTCAAGCCTAGGACTTTATATGTATAGAGCATATGACTCTCTTTTATTGTAACCAAGCATTGACTTGGAAAGATGTAAGCCCGTAGGGCATTTATTTTATTGATCATTCACTA